TCCAGCATATAAGAATAGAAGAACTACTCCACAAACATTGGCACACTACTTCAAGAACAAAGTCCAAAACAATCCTAAGTATAAAGTGAATGACATGAGGGTTGACTTGGAGGATAACTTCAGCCTTAATACTAGTTATTCAAAGATGAAGAGGGTTAAGAGACTTGTTTTAGAGAAATTGGAGGGTAGCTAAATTAATGGTTACAATAGGCTAGTGGTTTATGCTCAATAATTGAGGGACAGTAATCCAAGGTCTGATGTGATTATAAATATCTCTAAAGATGCTTTGGTAGAAGTAAAAAGAAGATTTCTTAGAATGTATGTGTGATTCCAAGCTTTGAAGAGTGGCTGGACCATTGGTTTAAGACCCCTAATAGGCCTGGATGGCACATTTTTGAAAGGGAAATGCAGGAAAACTTTACTGGTTGTTATGGCTCAAGATTCGGTGAAACACTTTTACCCACTTGCTTAGGTAATGGTGGATAGAGAAACATCTAGAATATGAAAGTGATTTATGGAGCTATTGAGATCTTCATTAGAGTTGGGAGATGGTGAAGGAGTGATATTTATGTGGGATATGCAGAAGATACTTCTAATTTTTATTAGTGATTTCCATTGTTAGTTTTACATTATATATTAATAAACTTTCTTTAATATTGCAGGATTTGCTAGATGTTGTATTCACTACAGTATCTAAATCACATCATAGATGGTGTGTTAGGCATATTGAAGCTAATTGGAGCAAGAATTTGAGGGGTGTAGGGATGAAAAAATTGCTATGGTGGTGTGCTTAGAGTAATTATGAAGAAGAATTCAAAGATCACTTGAAGACAATAGGTAATATTAATGAAAATCCTGATAGAGATCTCATACGGTACCCACCCCAAAACTGGTGTAGGGCTTACTTTGATACCACATGCAAGAACTACATGGTTGATAACAACTTTACATAATCATTCAACAAATGGATTCTTGAGGCTACAAAAGCCTATTATCAAGATGCTGGAAGATATTAGAGTGAAGGTAAATTACTAAGAGCTTTTTACTTCACTGTTTCTAAAGCCTATTGGATACAGAACCATTCACTATTTTTACTTTCTTTATCCACTGTTTGACAATGATTTTTTTCTTGTTTGGAAGGTCATGGCTAAATTGAAAGATCGTGAAGAGGAATGTAGAACTTGGAAAGGAGAATTTAGTCCATATGCCATGGAGTTGCTGAATAATTTCACACAGAATGCACAAGGGTGTGAAGTTATTTTTAATGGAGACAATGGATATAAAGTTGTTGAAGGTGCAGACAAGCATACAGTCAATCTGCTACTAAAGAAGTGTACATGTAGGACATGGGACTTGTCAGGAATACCATGTCCTCATGCCATCAAAGCTTTCGATTATAACAAAGAAGATCCATTGAGTGAAATACATTAGTGGTATTCAAAGGAAGCCTACATGTTGGTGTACATGAATAAACTACAACCAGTAAGAGGTGATAAATCTGAAAAGTTAAGCTAGCACATGCAATAGATCCACCAGAAGTACATAGAATGGATGGTAGGCCAAAAGTAAAGAGAAAGAGAGAAAAAGATGAGGCAAGGAAGAGATAAGGAGTTTGGCCAGCTTCAAGAAAGGGACTTGTGATGACATGTGGGCACTGTGGTAATAAAGGTCACAACATCAGAAAATGCCCTTTGGTAAGTACAATATTCTACCTGTCTTTTAAGTGAAAACAGCATGTAATGCCATTCTTCTTAATTGTCTTAACAGTCTTCTTACTGTTATATTCTCTATGTCCTAACAGTCTTCTTACTGCTATTGTAGGTTGGAGAATGATCTCAAGATGTGCAAGATGTGCCTCTGACAGCACCTCAAGACAGTCAAAATTTAGAGTATGCATTTATGCCTACTCCTGGACTGATGGTGTTTACTAGTCCAATCCATGAAGCAACTAAAGCATTATCCTCTGTTTTACTAGGAAACAAGCATTCAACAATCCGATGCACCTTAAGTTTGCATTCAACAATTTGTTGCACCTAAAGTCTGCATTCAACAATCCGTCTCTGCCACATCTCAAGGCACACTTCAACAGTCTGCTCCATATTCAGATATTGCTGATTACATTAACCACTTTAATACTAACAGTTTTTTTTTTTAATTTCTCACCCGGTATCCGGTACCCACATTGGAGCCCGACTAATCCGGATTCGCGCCGGAAAATCCCACATTGGGGGCTAATATGGAGTAAATTACATAAAAAGTGCAAATTACATTAAACGTTGTTAGCACTAATCTGCAAATTACCTATTAACCAATGTTAATAACCAATACAACAACAACTACTTGACATAAAGAAAAGTAGAAATACACAGAATCTTCAAATATTTCATCAACATTTGTCACCAACTTCTCAATTCATCATCTTGATTGTGGCAAAAAAAATACAAAAGTAGTCCATGACGATAGCAGTAATTTTCTCAATCGATTCACTTTTAATTCTAAATTGGAACCTTTCTCCTCCAAGGCAGATACTTTGTTCAAATCTGCAGCTTTGCTACGAACCATATCAGTCATAGTATGCTTCAACTTGTTTCTTTCTTGACGAAGAGCATCCAATGAATTTTTTATTATGGATAAACATTGACACATGAGGTGAAAATTGTTCATCGCGCCATTTCTAATAACGACAATATTTGTAGAATCTACGACCATCATTCATAGGTATCGTAGCAGTAAAATGGTTGGCAATTAATCCACAATAACATGTATGGGAATTACCTTGATCAAGAGAAGAAGCAGAAGAAGATTCAAACATTTTAACCAACAAGAAGAATAGTTATTAATGTAAATTCCAAAAGAGGAAACAAAGTTGGGAGGTAGGAGATGGGAGATGGAGAAATTGAAGAACTTTAATGAAAAGAGGAGGAAGAAGAAAAGATATTGTTGAGTCTTTAAAAAATGAATTATTTGGGTTAAATGAAATGAAGGGCGGCGGGTCGGTAATGGGGCGGGTTACGGGTTGGTTAGAGCTTAGGACTGGATTTTAAATTGGGCCAATAAAAATATAATACGTGAATTAAAAAAATTAATAGAAGGTTGTTAGAAATAAGGGCATAGCTGATCAAGAACATAAACGGTAAGTGTTTTTTTATTCAAAAAGGTGGAAGGAGAGCTTTATTATACCAAATTCAATACTTCAGGGGTACTTTAAGTCGTTTTTCGATCTTTCCTACTTAATTAGTGATTGGAGAATAATAGTAGAAGTACTATTTTTTGCAGAGAAGTGAAACAAAAAAACTTAAAAGGTCATAAAAAGTTAACGATAAAGTTGAATCTTAGCTAGCGTTTGGCCATAGATTCCCAAATTTGTTTTTAAAAACTTGATTTGGATGAAATTTAGTTTGAAGATGGAAATTTGTTTGGACATAATTTTTCAAATATATTTCACTTCTGTTTTTTTTTTTTTTTTGGAAAAAACATGGAATGTGACTTGTACCCTTAAGTTCGAAAAACTATCAAAAATACTCAACAATACCAAACAAACAAACTTGCTAACCTTCATTGATGTCATTCATTATCGTTATCACAAATCATAGTCCTAAACATAGATAAATTCGGCTTAAAATTATCATTTTTATAATAAACTGCATAATACACTATCCTAAAACCATAACCTGTATTTTAATATCAACTGCTAATAACATAATTACTAGCCACTATAATTTGTCAAATTGCAATAATATTACAAAATGCATCAGTCAAAAAAATGATACTAGTAATTAGCTGGTGGATTAGTTGGGTCATAATAGAGTTTTTTTATAAAATACAAAAGCTTGGGGTAATTTTTAAAATTGTTAAAAAATCAAACAGTAATATTTTGGGCCAAAAACATATCTAAAGCTAGTTTTGAGATTCAGAAATTTTATTTTTAAAATCTGCCAAAACATGTATAAAATCTATAAACAAACATGTTTTGCCAAAAAAACATTCAAAAAAATCTTGGGAAAATTTATGGCCAAACGGGGCTAATGTTAAGAGTTACGAACTACTTATCGCCGCATGGAAATTTGTATTAAACTACGTAATTTAGCTATAAGAGTTATAAACTAAAGTGAGAATACATATATTTAACCGTGATTAAATGATATGTATCATTATCATATATCCACAAGTTTGGAATAAACAGTAGGTGCTAATAATTTCTTTTCAGAAACAAATATATTGCAGTGTTTAAAACAGCATATAGGAAAGTTAATTGTTCTTTTCCTCCCGATTTGTTTTATTGGTTGGCCATTTTCTTTAATTAATGATTAATTCAACTAATTTTCAGAGCTTCCAACTACACTATTTCACCTAACAAATGTTCCCAAAAATTGAATGTTATTCAAAGAAGATTTTAAATATTGATTTCCAAAAGTAAACCAAACCAAATCCAAGCACCATATGAGGATCTTTGGACATGTTACCATATGTTTCAATCAAAATAGCACGGTATAGCCAGTTTTCGGATCGGTCATTCGAAAATAGTCAGCGTTTACCAAGTCAATAAAAAATAGCCACTATTTTGCTGCAGCAGAGACCGGTCCAGCATAATATACTGGAATTCGATGCACCTGTGTATGAACTCCAGCATATTATGCTGGACCGGTATACTTTGCTGGCTCCAGTATAATATACTGCAGACTGGAGCACCGGTGCTCCAAGCTCCAATATATTATGCTGGACCGGTATGCTTGCTGGAACTCCAGTATATTATGTTGGAGTTCTAGTGTAGTTATGCTAGAACACCATCATATTATACTTATCACGGAACTCCAGTATAATATGCTGAAGTTTCACTCAAATTTATCTTTACATGAAAATTGACTAAATTTCAATTATTTTTGAATTTCTCCCTATGTTTCATGCTTGTGTTAAAAAGACAGCCTCAAGAAAAAACGCCTTTTCAGATTCTTGGCTAACACATTAATTACTTGTAATAATCTATGACAAACATTTTGAAATAACTCAGCAAGAAATCCTCAGTTCATCATCATAGATTAGAAAGATAATTTCGAAGCAGTCTGAAGAAACAAGGAAAAAAAAAACAGAACAGGGGTTCTTTCATTGAGAATACATTCGACAAGGTAAAAAAATACAACTTCCAAAATTGTTCTAAACCAATGTGGCTACTCAGAAAGTTCTTAAGCCACGGTCTCCTTTTTAAGCTTTGCAAGCTCCTGTCTCACGACACCGGCCCTCTGCAATATCAACACCCGTGAATCAGATTGATACAACCCACAAAAGGGTAAATAACTTGTGCAATTAAAAGTAAGCCAAGCGATATTCGGATTGTTTACACAAGAACATGCAGGTTGTTTCAGGAGTATACTTAGCACGAGACCAAGAAACACATTCTGTCACAAGCCTGGCATATGCATTTTGCTTTTTCAATTAATGAAAACCATTCTTTTAACCCTTTCATGTTAAACCATATTTCTCATAAAGTCCACTGACTTATTGGTATGAGCAGGCTAAATGCAGTTAGATGAAGTTAACTTGAATACATATGCAATCGCACCTTGATTTTTGCCAACATAAGCTTAAACCTGTCAAAATCATTGAGTGAGGCCCTCCTCTTCTGCACTATCAACTTCCGTCCCCATGAACTGGACTCCCACTTGTTCTTCACATCTGGAGGACATAAAGATAACGAGAATTGTCAACCTTACAAACTTTTCTAACTTATAGGATAGACAAAGAACTGCTAAAGTAATATCTGCTCCATATCGTATAGAAGAGAAAATATAGCCACTCACCTGCAGCCTCCATAGCAGCAACCAGGGTCTTCTTCTTTGGAATCCTTTTGATGTCGATTTTGATGTCTGTGAGTGAAAGCCTCTTGAAGTTTATCTGGCTCCTCACCATGTCGGGAGCATCAACAAGAGCCTATCAATTTAAAGAGATAGCAAAATTATTAGGATAGATAAGATTCATATTTTCCAAAGTTAATTTATCTATCAATTAAGCACTGGCTACCATCTGTCAAAATTAAAACTAAACTCAACAAATCAAGAAGCAATTGAGATTTTTCTATTAACTGTTGAGATTGAGTAAGCATGAAGTAACATAAAAAATTAGAAAGAGGCAGGAAGTCTATGTCCGAATGGCACCTTAAGAAAATAAGATGTGCCTTTGGGGGTATGAAAAATTTCATCAGAAAAATAGTTTAGGACAAGTAAACAAAAGCGTTTTCACATTTTGGGTACTAAACCGTGCCCCACATAGCAAAATTTCGCTCTTACTGTCTTACATTAACACAGAAACAGATATAACCACTGGACCTATCAATGGAGAGTTCAACAACCGTGTAGAGGCAAGGTTCATCACTTTTCTTGATTTTTTTCATATTTGAAATGTAACGTTTCACTCCCCGGAATATCCACACCTCAATCCAAAAGGAACATAGTCGTATACGCTATAACCCTATGGTAAATGTACAAGTTTGTAACAGAAAACAGAGCCAACAACATTACAACAATGACACTCACTTTCATTAAATCGACAGAGCTTAATGATACAAGGATGCACTTGAACTGCTTTGGCAACAAAGACAGATATTCAATAATAAAATGGTCAGGGAGGCGGGAGCTTCTAGTTACACAGTCACAGATTACTCTTCTCGAATCCATAATACAAGGCCTCAGACAATATTGCTCAATCAAGTTAATATGATCAGACAATGTAGGCATATTATCATATTCCATCATAGGCCATATACAGATCCTTCATTAAAAACTGACAAAGTAAAAGACAAATCTAATCTATTGTTCCCAAAGACAGAGACTAGGCACCAGCAGTTCCCCATAAAAATTGCATCTGTGCTAAGACCAAGCGATTAAGCTATCAACTACACTCAATCCCAAGATAGCTGGGAAACACCATATGAATCCTCTATATCAGTTCGCCCTATTCCATCATAAGTCTTGAGCATATCATTTATAAATAGCTAAGATGTAGCACCCAAGGGTGTAGCCTAGCCGTCAATGAAGTGGGTGAAAACATTGGAGACCAAGGTTCAAATCCAGCAACAGTGACAGAAAATTCTAGGTGACTTCTTCACATCTACCTAAGCCTAGGTGGACAGAGATAGAATGGAAGGTGGCAGTTACCCAGTGGAATAGTCAAGGTGTGTACAAACAGGTGAGTAAACAGCTAGAAAATAAAAGGGCAGCCCAGTGCACACAACCTATCCTGATGCAAGCACCCGTAACCTATAGGTTAGATAGACACAACTTTTGCTCCATGGCTCCCTTCAAACAGCTAGAAAGTAAAAAAGCTAAAAATAAAGTCCAACTTTGCCCCAAAAAACATGAGCAGAATAATTCCAAAGTCCAAACAACAAAATTTGCATCCGTGCTAAATCAATCATTCAGTCAACTACACCTAAAGCCAAAGTAGTTTGAGTCACATATATGAATCCTCCATATCCATACTGAAAACTGAGCTGGAAATCTTAAAACAGCTCAAACATACATACATTAGCAAAAACTCAAAAAAATAAATGAGTCTGCAAACTCAATTGTTGCAAACTTTAAAACAAAACGCCACCTCAAGGTTCACTAAATCACAAATTTAAACTACAATAAGTCTCTAAAAAGACTAGTTAAACTCTAAACATAAACATTCAGCTAAATTCAAGTAACAAAACTGAAAAAGTAATAAAATGTACCCTATTTTGGTCGATGACGTCAACGATGACGACAAGCTTCCCATAGTCTTTCCCGTAGTTAACGAGCGCAACTCTTCCGATTTCAACGAACCTCTTGAACGGCTAAACAATAAAATCAAACAATATTTTTCAAATTTCAATAAATAAAATCAAAGTAATGAAAAATGCGTAAATGTGAAGAAGTGAATTAGAGAAGTTGAATGACAGAAAATGTAGAGAAACTCACCATTTTCAGTGATCTGAAGGAGTTGTGAAGCTGCGGAGGAGAGTGAGAGGTAAAAGGAGAAAGTGTAGGGTTTACGATGAAGGGATATAGTGTTAAGGTTTTTGTGGCTTCGGGTAATGGGCTACTGTAGTGTCAAATCAAATGGGCTTAGGCCCATATTATTGAACCCCCATTGATAGAAATTTGGTAAAATGACACTATATATATATATATATCGTGGTATGAACTATGAAGTGAGAGGCGATAAGAAGTTTGATTCACCTGGTTAAAATTAAAATATTATTGTAAAATTAGCTATATTTTAAATAAAGTACCTAAAAATGACTACATTGTGTTATTTCTAGATACATGTGTAAGAAATGAATAGGCTTGGTCATGTACATATGGGTTGGTTAAGCACTTAAGCTCATAGACTAATCAACATAGCCTAGCCTAACCTGGCCCAATAAGGATGGGTTCGAACTGAACAAAAAGGAAGCGAAAGAAACGAGGAATTTTCAATAAACACTATAGTTTAGAGCTTAATTACCATACCAAACTATAGTTTGTTATTTGTAGTTAATGTATCAATTTTGTCGTGTCAAATGCATACAACCAAACTTAAACTTCGTCGTATAATCGGTTGCCAGGCGGTATGAATGAATACAATTTTGATGGAAAAGTTGTATCAATTGTATTCATTCGCGCATAATGGTTAACAAATACAATTTTGAAGGAAAGCTGCATCATGTATTCGTTCGCACATCATGGTTGTATCAATGAATACAAGACGGAAAAACTATATCATTTGTATTCGTTCGTGCATAATGGTTGTATCAATGAATACAATTTTAATGAAAAAACCTATATCAACTGTATTTACGTTAAAAAGAAAAATACACTTCGAATTCGGCCAAATCTGAGATGCCGGATTTGAGAAATAAAATTACAAAATCTGCTCAAAAGAAAGATACATTGTATTTGCACTTAAAATAGAGAATACATACAATAATACATTGTATTTGCACTAAATGTATATTTTGGCACTTCACCGGTGGCTCGCCAGAAAAAATTCTATCAGATTTTTTGGAATTAAAAAATGTCAAAAGATAGATCCGCACAAGATATATCCTTTCATGTATGTTTCATGGGGTAAAAGTGAGAACTCAATGAATTTGAGAAATAAAATTTCGATTTTTCCTAGTTTTTCTCATATCTATGGGGTACTATGAGGAACTGAAAGAAATGGGTTTGTGGATTCATGTGGAGGAAGATGAGAGCAAGATATGATAAAAATTTGGGATCATTTGGAGACTGTCGTCCGGAGGCAGCGATCTAGTAGCGGCGACAGTGAGATTTTGGGAGAGAAGATAGTTCTTAAGGTTGTGAGAAGGAGGTAGATACTTGAAATTTGTGTGTGGATATTAAATTTTACTATAAAATATAAGTATTAGCTATGTATTGTAATTACTTTAAACTATAGTCATGGATGGTAAATACCTAGTCGATGTTAGTTATATCATGTAAAAGTCCCCCCCCCCCCTCCTCCTCCCCCTTCCCCCTGCAACAAAAAATATTCCCTCTCTTCCTGGTCCCATCAAACCAGACATTGAATTCCTAGGGATTCATCATTGGCTAGGGCTTTCGAATCAAAGCATGGGCATCTGCAATTAAGATAGAGTAGTAGATCGTCCGATTGAATAGCCAAGTACAGCCACTACTACGACTCCCTTTATGCAGCTATGAAATCCATACAACTTTTACCAATTCCAACGCAACTTACCCATTTGGAGGTAACGTGACGAATTACGCCAACTATATTTTTTATCTTTTCTAATTAGTTTTTGGTAACAAATATATGTAGGGAGAAATGAGATTTTCCTAACAATTATTGGTGAACCCATTTTTTCTGGGTTATAATATATTCTAATATTTTCAATCTTAATAAATTGTAAGTTAACTCTAAATGTAATATTATTATTAAAGTTAGAGTGGTGTACAAAGACCACCAAGCAATTGTCGTGAGGGAATCTTCTGACTTTTTTTTTCTAGTTAAATGCATATTTTCTTTCTATTTTTTTTATAAAATTGTACACGTGCCACTTTGTTATTTGTTACTTTACTACATCACTCGTGCTTGTAGCACACGCACGGGGTCTCCCAGACTGAGATATGCACGAGGCACATTTATGGCAACTAGAGGTATCAACTTGATCATTAGGTAAGTTTAAATGTTAAACTAGATCACCGAACAAACTTTCTCTCTCTAGAACACGAGCTCTCCTCTCAGCAGCAGTTGATATGGCAAGGAAAGCAAAATCTGGAGGAGGAGGGAGTACCGTACAACCCAATACAAATGGAAGAGACCTAAAAAGAGTTCCACTGTCATCGAAGGCAAAGAAATTTCGAAATGTCAATGCAATTCAAGGTATAGCTCCATTGGATTTGGATAGAACATTGGCGTCGACATCAACAATGGTGGAGAACACGCCGACAACGAAATCATGGGCAGATCAAACGGAGGAAGAGGTAAGTGAATCGGAAATAGGAAAACAAAGCCATGCAAAAATACCAAAAATAGGGGAAAATTGGAGTGGAATTGTAGGGAAAGGGGAACAAAGTGAGGAGTATGACCTTACCGTAAAGGGAGGGGAACAATTGAGGGGAAACGTGAAAACCACAATGGAAGACATAAAAGATGAGATAATCTATAGAAGATCTGCAGTAACTTGATACGTCCTAGGTTCAAATCCACCACAAACGGTTATGGAGGGCTACTTCAAGAGAGTATGAGGATCACTGGGGAGAGATAAAAGAGCCCAGGTGAACAGAGGTGTGTTCATAGTAAGATTTCACTCACTGGAGAACAAAAAGAAGGTGGTGGAGGAAGGAATTAGAATGTTTGACAAAAAACCAACGGTGGTTAAACCATGGATACCAAACATTAAATTTGACAAGCATGTGGTTGATAAAATTCATGTGTGGATTAGATTGATGAATTCGGATATAGTACTGGGGTCAAAATGCCCTAACAAAAATTGCAGGAATGATAGGCAACCCTCTAACAGAGCAACAACACAAAAGGAGAGACTATAATTTGCAAGAATTTTGGTTGAAGTTGAACCATATCAGAGATATCCAGACATGATGATGTTTGAGAATGAATGTGGAGCGATCATTGAGCAAGAGGTTAGCTATGAATGGAAACAAATATTTTGTAAAACATGTGGCAATTTTGGACATGATATTAGAGAATGTAGAAAGCAATTAAGGCGGGACAAGGCAGGGGAGGTAATCACCAAAGGAACAGGTAACAACAATACAAAGGGTGACATGGAGAAGAAAAAACCAGAGGAACAACAACAAAAGGAAGCAAGTGACATTACCCCAATAGAAATGGGAGTAACAATGATAAGCAGCAGGAAACACAGGGGAATAAGAATCAGGCTGGAAATAGCAAAAAAGAATAGGAAGCATGGCAAGTGGTACAAGGGAAGAAAGCATGGAAAAGTCGAGGAAGTAATCAAAACACATATGCTGCAGTTACACAAGTGAACAACAGGAACAATAGAATGAATAAAGGTGAGAAGCAATCTAAGGAAAGGCAAATGGAACCACAAGGAAATGGTAACAAATCAGACAAGGCTGGGGGTCCTAACCCCCACCTCCCTAATGGATAGTATTGGGTTCTAAAACACCAGAGGCCTAAACAGGACAACCAAACAGAAGGAAGTGAATCTAAAGACGGCAGGTTGGACTGTTTGGGCTATTGGAAACAAAGATTAAGAGAGCTAAGGCAAACAAAGCTGCTCTTAATCTTTGCACAGGGTGGTCCTATACTACAAATCATTCTAAACATAATGCAGGAAGGATATGGATATTGTGGAGGCCTCAGATTTTCACTATAAAAGTGGAAATGGTGACAGAACAACTCATTCGTAGTATCATAACTCACAGTAGCACAAGGAAGAAGATTAATGTGACAATGGTGTATGGATTTAAAGATCAAGCACTAAGGGCTGACTTATGCAGAGACATAAGAATGATAGCTAATCAAATGATGGGGGCATGGGCAATTATGGGAGATTTCAACTCTATACTCAATCAAGAGGATAGAGTGGGGAGTAAGGTGACATATGCAGAAATAAAGGAGTTTAAGGAATGTGTGGAACATTGTGGACTTCAAGAGCTGAAATCATCGGGGTGTCTTTTTACATGGAGTAATAAACATGAAGGAGATGATAGAGTGCTCAGTAAAATTGACAGGGTAATCACCAACAATGAATGGGTGAATAAATTGCTAGCATATGAGGTTCATTATCTGCCAGCATGAGTATATGATCACAATCTTGCAATAATCAAATGGGAAGGAACAGGTGCACCTAAGATGAGGATATTCAGATACTATAACATGTGGAGCATGGACAACTCCTTCATGACAAGATTGGAGAGAAGCTAGAGACAACCAATACAAGGGACAAACATGTTTAGAGTGGTGGAAAAACTGAACAGACTTAAAAAAGTGTTGCTAAAGCTAAATAAAGACAAATTTGCAGAAGTAGAGAAACAGGAAGATGAAAGCATGAAGAAGCTGATAGAATGCCAAGAGAAAATACAAAAAGATCCCAGGAATGAAAGATTAGGCAAAGAGGAGAAGGAACTGACAAAGCAATACATATACTAGAAGGAGGCAAAATTAAACTACTTGCAGCAAAAGAGTAAAGTGCAATGGCTTAAATATAGAGATATGAATACAAACTACTTCCACTCGGTGATCAAGGCAAATAGAGCAGCAAGCAGAATATTCATAATCCAGAACATGCAAGGAGAAACAGTCCAATCAACAGATGCAGTAGCTGATGCCTTTAAGGAATTTTATACAATCTTATTGGGCACTGACAAGCAAAACAGAGATCATGTGGCAAGCCACATAGCTAAAGAAGGACACATTGTTTTAGAAGAACAAAGGAATCAACTGATAAGAGAGTTTTCACAAAAGGAAGTCAAATAGGCACTATAAGATATAGAAGGGACAAAGGCACCAGGACCTGATGGGTATGGAAGTCAATTTTTCAAGGATAGCTGGAACATTGTAGGGGAGGAAATCACTGCAGCCGTGTTGAATTTTTCCAATCTGGGAAAATGCTCAAAGCTCTAAACACTACAGTGATCACTCTCATACCAAAATCTTCTCATGCTACAATAGTGGAAGATTATAGACCCATAGCACGTTGGAATGTGATGTACAAGATAATCTCAAAGATGCTGTGTAATAGAGTGAAAATGGTGCTGCCAGACATCATCTCACAAAACCAAAGTGCCTTTGTGGAAGCAAGAACAATAGTGCAGAACATACTAATATGTCAAGATTTGGTCAGATTATATAATAGGAAACAAACTACTAAAAGCTGCTTGATTAAGGTGGATTTGAAAAAGGCATATGATTCTATTGAATGGAAGTTTGTAGAGGAAACGATGCGTGCACTAAACTTCCCTGGACTGTTCATAAGGTGGATTGTGGCATGTATCACAACAACCAGCTACAACATAAACTTAAATGGAGGATGTTATGGCAGAATAAAGAGGAAAAGAGGACCAAAACAAGGGGACCCAATCTCACCCCTACTATTTGTGATTTGTATGGAATAGTTTACGAGAATCATGGGTATGTAGCTAAACAGAAAGAGTTTACTTATCATACAAAATGCAAAGGATTGAAGCTGACACGCTTATATTTTGCGGATGATATGATACTATTCAGCAAAGGGGATTATGCATCAGTAATGCTCATGCTAAGGGGTCTCAAGTCATTTTCAAATGCATATGGTATGACAGTTAATGCAAATAAATCAAATATCTTCTGCGCAAATGTGAATGGAAGGGAGATAGAAGACATATATGAGCTGACAGGATATAAAAAAGGTAAACTACCATTTAAATACATAGGAGTGACTATACCCCCAAAGAAACTAAACTACCATTTAAATACCTAGGAGTGCCTATACCCCCAAAGAAACTAAGTGTTGTAGATTGTGAAATGCTGATAGACAAGATTCTAATAAGGATAAAAGGATGGGGGTCCAGGAACTTATCATATGTAGGGAGAACTCAATTGGTGAACATTGTGTTGATGCACCTGCACTCATACTGGGCATCCATATTCATTCTTCCAAAAAAGGTCATAAAAGAAATTGTAGCTATATGTAGGAATTACTTATGGGATGGGAAAATTATCACGAACAAATCACCACTGGTATCATGGGACCTAGTCTTTCGACCAAAAAGAGAGGTAGAATCAGGAATACAAGAATGCTTGGCATGGAATGAAGCAGCAGTGGCAAATTATGTATGGAATATAGAGAAAAAAAGTGATTCACTATGGGTCAAATGGGTAAATCACATATACATAAAAGGTAGGGATTGGTGGCAGTACAACCCACCACAAGACTGTGCATGGTATTCGAAGAAGATATGTGATATCAAAACAGTATTTGCTTCGGGCTTTGAACAAAAAGGTTGGAAGGGGCAAATGAATAGATACACAGTAAATGAAGGATACCGATGGAGAAGAGGAGCATCACCTAAATGGCCACAAACACGATGGATTTGGAATAGATTAAATGTTTCAAAATACTGCTTTATAGGCTGGTTGATCATGAGACAAAGACTGCTTACAAGGGACAGATTGCATATGATGGGAGTGAGCCAGGAGAAAACATGTCTACTAATGAAGTCAGTTTTGGAACTTTGACCAACTTCAAGACTTCCTTATATCACCCACGTGACTGTTATATGTATAATATAAAGCGGATGCAGAATTCATCACTAACCTGGTCAAACCAACATTACTGACGGAAAGATCAACAGAGGCCTGCGGAACCCTTGGACTGGATTTTTTTGCATTCGGTAACGGTTTTATTCTAATTTTACGTTCATCTATAGTTGTCTCCCCATTCTCATCCCCAACATCTGCAGGAAGTTTTAACAGGGCAACTTCCTCTTCATGCTTATCCCGAGGAAAGTAGAGCGGAAGCAATCTGCAGAATAAAGTTGCATATAACGCTCAAGAGGTGGATGGTTGGACTTCCCAAATAAATAGAAACTGACAGAACTCTTTCCCTCCATATTCTACTAGAGAATCGATGTCATAAGAATACCTTTTATAAATCTCTGTATCCGATGATGTAGTTGGAATGCAAGATGAAACAGTACAACATTTGTATTTTGACTGCCAGTTTTCCAGAAGATGCATTGATGAACTATGCAACTGGATGAGAATAAAACTAAACCAACCAGATATGCAGAGCATTTGGAGGAGAATAGGAAGATGTATAAAAAGGAGAATCTGCAGAGGTTTTGTGACCTCAATCATCACAGCAACAATGTATGGAATATGGCTAGCAAGGAATGAAGCTTTATGGAATCATAAAGTGTCAATGCCAACAAAGATGTGGAAGAGCATTAAAGAGGATAGTAAGTATAGGCTGCAACTTATAGTAGATAACAGAAAAAATAGGAAAGAAATAGAGTGGATCAATCATTTGTATAGATAGGAAAATGACTAGGTTCTAATAGGGCAGACCTACCTAGTAGGGATGCGCAAGGATGATACAATTTTGGTGTTGAGCTAGATAGAGTAACTTATAGATTATGGTAGGGATATAAAATTTGTAAATAACTTTGTCTGGTGGAGATCACTGGAAAAAAAATTTCACAAAAAAAAAATGTTAAACTGATAATTAGGCTAAGTTTTAGTGTTTATTTATGCATTTTATCAATATTTAATTATTTTAACGCAAATTCAAAGCTATTGTTGTGCGTTTTAATACCTTCATCTAAAAACCAAAATTACTGATTTAAATTGTATATCCCCATTAAGAATACACATGAAATAGCTATCACACGTGCGAGAATAATTTGTTTAGAATATTTTTTTGAGACTACTCCTCGAAAAGTTGAGCATGAAGAAAAATCAAGTCGAGCGGAGCGTGTTAAAAATAAAAAAAATTACTAAAGTTAAGGGTGTTAGAGCAAACTACAACTTATGCGGTAAGTCGGAGGAATTAAAACTCTGTTGGACCCACCCTCTCCCCTGCCATGCTAAGTAGGAGGAATTAGTTTCCTATGCTTAATTACAATTTGAACAAAAAATATTAATTGTACAAAGATCTTCTGATCTCATATGAAAATGATCATATCATAAAAACAACACTTGTAACAGAATACAAAATAAAATCTTTTGAATAAGTTTTTTTTGTTCTTCGTTTTTTAGGACTAAGGTAGAAGGTTAGTAGGTTAGTTGAGTGTGCTTTATGACAAGTTAGTCTTGTATTCTAATATTGTTAGATTTCTATCACTACATGTTGTTCATTTCGTCTCATTTTCTTATTATCTTATTTTTTGCTGTTGCTCTATTTTCATCTTTCCTCGTGCCGAGGATTATATTGTCACGACCCAAAATCCCTCTGAAGGAGTCGTGATGGCACCTAGTCTCTAAAACTAGGTAAGCCTAACATTAACAGAAATAACGACAATATTGGCTAACATCGAATAATTTTGAAATAGAGAACTCTGGACAATTTACTATCCAAAAACCGGCAGTACAAGTCATAAGCCTTTCTAGGAGTAGTTATACATAATGAATACATCATTGTTCCGGAACAAAAGGAAACAATGGAAATAAATGCAATAGAAGGTGACTTCGGAGCCTGCGAACGCCCAACAGGTCTACCTTGAAGTCTCCAGCCACACCAAGCATAATTCTTAAAACCAACTCGATCCGAAGTACTGGTTTTGCACAAAAAGATGTGCAGAAGTATCGTATGAGTACACCACATGTCACAACCCGGATTTTCCACCCTCGGGAGTCGTGATGGCGCCTACTAATGTGAGCTAGGCAAGCCAATTATTGAACCATCTTCCTTTTTACCAATTTTATTCTCTTTAACAAATACGAAGAATTAACATTTGAACAACGGAACATAACATAAGCGGAAAAAAAATAATAAACCATCTGAGCATGAATATCTTTTACAACTATTTGAGTCTCAACTACCCAGAACTGGTGTCACAGTTTCACAGACGGTCTAAGAATACTACAAGTAAAGGTCTGAAAGAATTAAATACAACACTGTCTCTGGAAATACATGTAAGAAACAGGAAAGTAAATAGAAGGAGACGCCAAGGCCTACGGACGTTTGCAGGGCTACCTCGGGTCACCTGATGAACAAGGGTCAGCAATCACACCGCGGTCCGAAGTCTACAACACTGGGGTCTGCACAAAAGAGTGCAGAGTGTAGTATCAGCACAACCGACCCCATGTGCTGGTAAGTGCCTAGCCTAACCTCGGCGAAGTAGTGACGAGGCTAGGACCAGACTATCAAATAAACCTGTGCAGTTATATGATATACAGCGGAAAGTAAAGCAGAAATAAGCAAGTAGAGATGGGAGGGGGAAACATGCTCCGGGGAATAACAGGTAAAAATAGAATATCAAATAACTATAAAGGAATCAAAATCCAACCCCTAACAAGAGTAAGGAAAACAAGGCAGATTTCACTTTCTTTTCACATCTTGTGGTAGGCGTACCACCCGCTCCCATATCATTATATCTTGTGGTAGGCATACCACCCGCTCCCATTTTATTAGGCGTACCACCCGCTCCTATTTTATTATATCTTGTGGTAGGCGTACCACCCGCTCCATATATAATATTGTTGCGGCGTGCCAACCCGATCCATATATAATTTTGTTGCGGCGTGCAACCCGATCCATATATAATATTGTTGCGGCGTGCAACCCGATCCATATATAATATTTACAATTATAATAAGAGTCCCGACAAGGAATCAATAAGGTCTACACTAACTCGGCGAGGGATTCGACAGCATAAGAAAATATGACCTGGCAAGGAAGAAACAGCTATAACCAAACTTATTCCAACGTCTAACTACCTCAATTATAACTCAACTTGTTCCAACATCTAACTACCCCAACCATAACTCAACTTATTCCAACATCTAACTACCTCAGCTATAATCGAACTTGTTATAAGACCTAACTACCTCCGCTATAACCAAACTTATTCCGACACCTAACTACCTCAGCTATAACCAAAATCCCTACCCAACATAAAGAATCATCAACCTAAGCATCCGAAACATCAATTAAGAACACAATGCAAGGGGACCACAACTCAACAATAGCCCGGCAAGGGAGCAACGTAATGATCTCTTCTCTTACTCACTTTTACTTCACAGTTCACTTCACAACTCGAGCCAATGCTCTAGAGGTTCAACTGTCACTTATACTTTCACAATTCGTTCTACAACTGGAGCCATCGCTCCTCAATGTTCATAAGTCACAATCCTTTCCACAACTTTACACAACAAATAGAAATACTCACCAAGGCATGAATAATACAACGAAGTCATGAAAATCACGATATAAGACTCACGGTCATGCTTGACACCAACGTATATATACTCATCACCATGCCTATACGTCGTACTCAACAAGAAACAAATAGCAAATAGGACACAACTCTTAATCCCTTAAGCTAAGGTTAGACCAAACACTTACCTCGATGCCTTGAATTCAACTCAAGTCTCAATTATAGCTTTACCCCTCGATTCCGCCTCCAATTCGCTTGTATCTAATCACAAATTACTTAATTACATTAATAAACACTAAATGAATCAATTTGAATGCATAAAAATGAATTTTCCAAAGTTTTTCCCAAAAATTCCAAAATTGCCCCCGGGCCCACGTGGTCAAAACTCGAGGTTCGAACCGAAACCCGGCTACCCATTCCCCCACGAACCCAAATATATGATTTGGTTTGAAATCGGACCTCAAATTGAGGTCCAAATGCGAACTGGGGGAATTGCGAGAAAATGTTCGCATTTGCGAACACTGTCCAAAAATCCGGACTTCGCATTTGCGAGCCAAAGGTCGCATTTGCGACCAGCCCAGCTTCGCATTTACGGCCAAATGGCCGCATTTGCGGTCTGCAGACTCACTCTTCCTCGCATTTGCGATGCCAGGCTCGCATTTGCGATATCGCATTTGCGAGACCTGCTTCGCAAATGCGAAAATACCAAGAACTGAAATGCCAGATTTTCACAAAGGTTAAAAATGCACTCACGGCCTATCCAAAATTCACCCGAGCCCTCGGGGCTCCAAACCAAACACACACACAACCTCAAAAATATCCTACGGACTTATCCGTGCGATTAAATCGCCAAAACAACATCATAAACATCGAATTAAGCCTCAAAATCCATAATTTCTTCCAAATTTCATAAAACATCAAACTTTCCATTTTGAGTTCGAAACACGTCAAACGACGTCCGTTTTCAACCAAACTTTACAGAAAGTGCTTAAACCATATGTAAGACCTGTACCGGGCGCCGGAACCAAAATACGGGCCCGATACCATCACGTTCTAATCAAATTTTATTTTCAATTTCCTTAATTATTTTCAGAAAACAATTTTACTCAAAAATTCATTTCTCGGGCTTGGGACCTCGGAATTCGATTTCGGGCATACGTCCGAGTCCCATATTTTCCTACGGACCCTCCGGGACCGTCAAATCACGGGTCCGGGTCCGTTTATCCAAAATATTGACCAAAGTCAAATTTATTCATTTTATCATCAAAACTTAGCATTTTTCACAAATTTTCAAAGCTTTCCGGCTAAGTGCCCGGACTGCGCACGTAAATCGAGGCGACTCTAAATGAGGTTTTCAAGGCCTCGGAAGCACAGAATGGGTAAGAAAACAGGTGATGACCCTTTGGGTCGTCACACCACGGTGGTACCCGGTAAATATCAAGCCTAACCTCGGTAGAGTAGTGACGAGGCCGGGTCAAGACACCTACCGAACATAAAAACCTGAGCAGGATATGGCATAAAGCTAGCAAGGTAGGGATATCAAAGTAATGCCAATAACAGTAATAAATTAAATTACAAACAGTAATGACGATAAGGGGAAAATACGAATGGCAATGAGAATTAACCAAGTAATTAAACAACAACGCAGTTGGGATACATACAAGTGTAAATGTGCTCAGGTAGGGAAAAAGATGTCAACTCAACCAAACAACGATTCCACTAATTCCATTTCTTGTAATCTCATACCATAAACCACAACTTCCTACCCTTTAATACACGACACCTTTGCCCACATCTTTCCATCTCACTTTGCACGGCAAAACCACGTGCTACTCGGTACATAATATCCGTATCAAGTGCTAATTAAGATGATCAAGAGATTCCATTTATATATACCATAAAGTAAATTTACAGTTTCCAGACCAAATAGGAAATCAGCGAGGAAGATGAGTTTTGTTTTAGAAATCATTTGAGTGAAGAAAATAACATTTTCAAATAAAATTCAACATCGAATAACTATTTTATTTAATATAGAATTTATTAAGTTAAAACATAATAACAATTTCTTTTTAAGTAAAATAAAAGAAAACCTCAGGCAAGTGAAGAAGATTAAGCTGGGAAAGCAATTGAAATAAAATATAACAATTATTAGAAATAGTAGATACTAAAATATATGGCGAGTTCTAACTTAAAGTCACACAAGGAAGCATGATATTAATTCTTTCATTTTAAATCACGATTTACTAACGACCCAGCAGGGCAGGAGAAAATGACTCAACGTAGTAAGTTTATTTTGAAAATCAATTCACCAGAATAATAGTATTAGGAAAAGAGCTCAGGAAATGACGACAAGGCAATAAGTCAATGACAATAACTCGATCCTCAAAACTCAGTGAAAACCAGAAATACATATTATCAAAGTCTCGCACGAAGGAACTAAAGTCAATACAGTAAAACAGGGGATACCAAAATACAAGATATGTTGCGGCGCGCAACCCGATCCCACCATATAATATCAATATCATAAGTCACCCTTATTCCACCATATCAATTCACCCTTATTTCACCTGTTGCGGCGTGCAACCCGATCCCACCGTACAATATCAATATCATAGCAATAAACATAATATGTTGCGGCGCGCAACCCGATCTCACCATATAATATCAATATCATAATTCACCATTATTACCACATAACAATTCACCCTTATTTCACTTGTTGCGGCGTGCAACCCGGTCCCACCGTATAATAACAATATCACAATATAAATATCCTCCTTTATTCCACCACCTCCCTTATTTCACCTGTTGCGGCGTGCAACCCGATCCCCCGTACAATAATTTAAATCAACAACAATCATTAAACAACTCAATTACAAGAATTTCTGCAATCAAGAGCATGAGTACACGGCAACAAGAGAACCACGTAAAAATCAAAGGAATACAATAACCTTTACAAAACAACAAGACAGGTAAGCCACATGATAACTACACAGGCAATCACAATAATTTGGACATGTAGCATATATGCACAGAGTCATAGACGAACTCACGATTAAGAAGTAACAAAATAACAAGGAAGGCAATAGCTTCAACTAAGGCAAATAAGGCCAAACAACGAGCAAGAGGTAAATAAATGCTAACAGCATCATATAGAGCATGTAAGTGTAGCCTAACAACAAGATACCACATATTATGATAATTCGATCAAAGGCATGGAAAAAGACTAGACAATCTAATCGGCCAACACCACATATAAACTGTGCACCCATTCGTCACCTTGTGTACACGGCTTTCACATATCAAGATAGCACAATTGACTCAATTCCTAAGGGGTGGTCCCCCCCCCCCCTCAAGGTTAGACAAGATACATCTCAATGCTCAATTTTTTTACCAATATCGCTCCACCCAATCTAGCCAAAGACGACTTAAATACATCAAACAATGCAAGAGAAAACAATTTCAATGAACAAAGTTATGATCGTTACACAATTTACAAAAAGTCAACAAAACTCAACTCACCGGGCCCGCACCTCGGAACCCGACAAAATTTACAAAACCCGAATACCCATTCCGATACGAGTTCAACAATACAAAAATTATCAAGTTCCAATATCAATTCGTCCTTCAAACCATTATTTTTTTTATTTTTGAAAGATTTTACAATTTCCCCCAAATTTTCCTTTATATTCTCATGAATATGATGTTAAATCTAAGATATAATCACAAAATATAGTTGGAAATTGATTAGAGGCACTTACCCAATGATTTGGTATGAAAATCTTCTCTCAAAATCGCCCACTCTCGGACCTAGGGTTCAAAATATGATAAAATGGAGCTAAGTCACGAAACGGGAGTCTTAATACCAGCCTCAGATGTCGCATTTGCGACATCAGGATCGCAAATGTGATTCTCGCAAATGCGACATAAGTATCGCAAATGTGAAGGCTGGACAGCTCTGATCAGATCGCAAATGCGACACAAGACTCGCAAATGCGAGCTCTGAGATGTTCGCAAAAGCGACAGTTACGTCGCAAATGTGGAGCTGCCTAGTCGCAAATGCGATGAAGTTGTTCGCAATTGCGAACTCCCTTGCCCCAGACCAACGTCGCAAATGCGAGAATGATCTCGCAAATGTGGTCATCGCATTTGCGATGAAATCCTCGCAAATGCGAGAACAGAGACACGAGCACAGCTGAACCTCCTTCCAACACTCCGAAACGCGTACGAAACTCATCCGAGCCCTCGGGGCTCCATGCCAAACACCCACACAAGTCTGAAAACATAACACAATCTCGCTCGCGCGATCGGAACACCAAAATAACCTTTTGAACCACGAATCAGATGCCAAAACACATGAAAAATCACCATGAACTACAAGAACTTCTAGAATCGCAACCAAGCGTCCGAACTATATCAAATCAACTCCAAACGACACCAAATTTTGCAGGCAAGTCCCAAATGACATACCGGAGCTGTTCCAACTCTCGAAATCGCATTCCGACCCCGATATCACCAAAGTCAACTCTAGGTCAAACCTTTCAATCTTCCTAAACTTCAACTTTCCAATTTTCGCCATAAATGCTCCAAATTACCCTACGGACCTCCAAATCCAAATCCGGACGTACGCCTAAGTCCAAAATCACCACTCGAGCCTATCGGAACCATCGAAACTCCAATCTGAGGTCAAATACTCAAAAGTCAAATCTTGATCAATTCTCTCAACTTCAAGCTTCTCAAATTAAAGTCACTTCTAAAAATCCTTTTCGAACTTCTCAAAAACCCAAACCGATGATGAACGCAAGTCATAATACACCGTGTGAAGCTACTCGTGACCTTAAACTGTCGAACCGGATGCAATTGCTCAAAACGACCGGTCGGATCGTTACATATATTCACACGTAAGATTTTCATACTCAATATCCTCCATAGATCCTATTTATGGGATTATACTATTTTTTTTTATTGTTGTTGTTGTTGTAGCACCTAAAAGGTGTAGGAATCAAATCTCAATAGAGATAAAAATATAAAGTGATTTTTGTTCTATGTACCCAAGTTTTGATGGTTATAATTATCAATATATGTAGAGCTAGGACGTAGCAACCAATGAAATAGTGTAAGGCGTATTATAATTATAAATATAAACATACAAAAATTCAATTGGAAGATCAGGGTCTTTCCCTGCCAACTCCTTGCCAATTGCCACCTACAAAAGCACAAGATTCTCCTCGTTGGCGCCCAGTAAGCATTCTTCTAATAATTTCTTATTCATTAGTACTTCACCTCTTTCCCCAACATTTGCTTTGTACAAATCAATCCTAAAAAAAGCAGTATCTTTTGCTATAAGGTACTAATTAAATCCTTAATCATGTATATATATAATCTTTTGAAGCTGTAAATTTCTCATTAGATCCTCCAATTTGCAATTTTTGAGCAATTTTTAAGGAACCCTAAGATTTTGTTTGTAGTAATTTTCTTTCAACAAGACATGGGTAACTCTATGATAGCTGCCTGCAAAAATGGTAATTGTTATGTTTTTTTTTTTTTTTTTTTTTTTTTTGTTGTGTGTGTTTTCTTTATTTCTGCTTGTAATTGTGATGGATAATTTG